CGATAAAGTCCATGGTCAGTCGGGCCTTCGGGGTGCAATCGTAGCTCAAACCGTGATCACTCTGGATCCAGATCGTAAAAGACATCGCGACTACGATCGTATCCTACGCAAAAGTCTGCATCGGTTCCTAATGATCGTACGGGAACGTATTCGAACGTATCTGCACGTACCAGATCGTAAACTCAATAGGGGAAATCATATCGGAACGTATCTGAACGAGAGACCAGGTCGTGACAGATCGTGTCAACTGAAATTGACCACTCGTGACCATATCTCTCCAGAACGTGACATTTCAGAGAAGTAAATATAAGAATGGCCAATAGTCGCGTTCGTAACGCATAGCACAACAGTGGGAACCTAGCACTGAACACTTACTTTATGTTCATAACAATCCATTAATATTTTAAAAGATTATTTGTAATACCATTTATTATTTTGCTCTACCTTTGCATTATTATCATGTCTCACACAGTCATTTTAAAAGAACAGTGTTGGTGTTTGCCAATGTGACAGAACTGGTAAACACATTCTAAATATAATTTTAACATAGAGATCTTTGCTACGTTTAATCCGTAACACGGATTTGAAGAATCTGAAAGTGATGCTAATAAAACAAAAGCAGTTTTAAAATGTTACTGACTGAAGCAGAAAGCGATAACAGCCACACTGACGATTTTCAGCCCACTAATTATTCCTGTTGTTATACAAAGCTTGCTTCTATGTAGGACATGGATTTGAACCCCGATGAGTTAAATGCGGTCTCTCCGATTTCATCTTTGTATTATTTAAAAGGGTGAACAATGTGTTTGTATTGCTGAATTCTATAACTAAATACATTTATTTTTGTATGTCATTTCACGTGGGTGATTTCCGGGTCAATAATTTGTATTGGAGTGACCACAGACACTGTAATGTTCGGTCTGGTCAAGATCACCACCACGTTATCACCATAATAAGATCTTCTGTGTATAGTATCTCTGATTTATTGCTGGACTACTGACCTTATGATCGTACAATTAATAAATCACATTATATACACTGCCATTTAAAACTAGCATCACCATTTCCTTTGACACTTTTTATTATTTACTGGCTTGATTACCATTTTTTTTCATTGACCCAAATCGGCCTCTATTGTGGGTTATAAAATACCGACATTTATTTGAATGTCTCAAGCGGTACAATCACTACACAAAAGCTTAACTCGCGTGGATCGTCCATTGAACATGCTCTTCGTATCCTAATAAAAGGTTTGATCTCCGGAAATCAATACTTTTTTTTAACAAAAATAAGGATAAGACAGTGCCCATTTGTGTTTCCCACATATCTGAAATTAAAGTTTTGGTAAAATAGCTATAGCACCCTTAATTTGTGTTGAATCTCAAATTGGGTTTCATTAAAGTACTTCTCAGCCTCTTGTTCAGACAGATTGCGATCGATTAGAGAGTGTTGGCTTTTTTTTCAAATCTTATGAAAGAAGGTGATTTGGTATAACCTTTTCCGCGCTCTTCAAATATGTGAACTTTCCCTTTTTGTTTTCTCAATATAAAATCTTTCTATATGTACGCCGTATTACTCAGATTGGCTTTAAAACACGTATCACACAATATTGGTTTGAGTCTACTGACGATTCATTTACAACATAGATATTCAAAGTATTAGAAGTATCTACTAGTATTTTTCCACACTGATCAGCAGTAAATATTCGCTAGGCCGCTACAATCACTGATAAGGATGACATCAATGCGACTTAATGAGTCAAATATTAACTTTTTTCCACCTACAAATTAAATTCTAAAACATTTTGGGGGTGTATTAGAAAAATAAATAAAGACGTTTGACGTATTTGTAGGTAACTAAAATTATTTCCTATTTAGTGTAAATGGACATTAAAATGACTAAAAGGCAACATTCTGTCCAAAGCAGTAACGTCTTATGTAAACAATGCACGCGCCATTCAGCCAATGATTGACGCCGCGTGCTGTGACGGCACGTGTTGAAAGCAGTCATCTTTTACAGAGATATTAGAAGACTTTCGTAATTCTCTGTAAAACAGATTGGTATTTATCGTCGCTGGTAGTATATATGGTGTATTATTTAATTCCCTAACTAAACTATTAAAAATCTCCCATTCGAACTTTTGAACACAGCATGTGATAACTCGCGATATATAATCGAATTATCTTAAGTTAAAATTTGTATTATTTTTTTTTTAAAAAAAGGGGTGATATTAATGAATATCCCTTTCTTACAGAAATGTATCCCCCAATTTCCAAGAGAATATATTTTACGGTAGTTAAGGTCACATTATGCAGACATTAGTATTTTGCTTGAAGGGATATTATGAAGACTGCAAATTATTAGATTTCCGTCACCCTACAAAGCCGTAGTTTTCTGCGCACACAACAGCTATTTTGGGACAATTTCATGACAACTTATCATTTTATTTCAAACGAACAAAAATAAATACTGTGACCTAATGTACTACACACAATAATATTATTGGCTATCTCAAAAGTTTATAAAGATTTGCAAACGATATTCTATATTGTTGTAATTTATCTTGACCATTATAGATTTGATGGAAATAAGTATTAAGAGGTGGCACTGACATATTTAATTTTAGCTTGTCATTCTATAAGAACAGAAAAGTCAGCGTTATTAGAATTGTTATTGGAATCTATATCATTCTGTGATTGTTTCTTACTTCCATTACATGTATACATGTAATATTAGAAATATTATCCCAGTCAGGCTTTAACCGATTATGAAAAATCAATATGGAAAGTATGTATATAATACCATTCTGACCCCATTGTTTTTTGTAAACATAAGATTTAAAGGACAATATTGGTGTCAGTCATTATCACATATGCGATAGAACTGGTTAAACACGTTCCAAATATAATTTTAACACGGAGATCACTGCTACGATAAATGCGTAATCAAGGTTTCTACAAAAGGAAGTGACGAACACAAAAGGAAAACACAAGTTATCCTTCTATATAACTGACTGAATGTTCGAATGATAACAGATATACTTGGCGAATTTCTGCTCCCTATAAATTCCTTAGAAGACCAAAAGTTGATATGTGAGACTGTGCGAGGATATCTGACAATTGAAAAAAGTAATTGAATGTCACAAGATAAGAGAACGCGAGAAAAATAGAAACAGTCCGTACAGTTACGTGTGTTTATTCATTCTATACTAAATAAAAACATGGTAATGCACGGACTTGTATCTGTTATCACTCGTCACTTCAGTCAGTTATATAGAAGGATAACTCGTGTTTTCCTTTTGCGTTCGTCACTTCCGTTTATTGAAACCGTGATTACGCATCTATCGTAGAGATGATCGCTGTGTTAAAATTATATTTGGAACGTGTTAAACCAGTTCTACCACATATGTGATAATGACTGACGCCAATATCGTCCTTTAAGTTCCTTATATAGACCTTTGCCTGTTGTTCAATCCATTGAATAAAATACGCTCGTACTTACTTTAAGCGGAGATTAATGCTGTAACACATGGAAATATAATGAAAAGAAATGGGGTTTAATGTCCTACTTTTCTTCACCAACTCGGCTAAGGAAGACGAGCATACTCCATACAGTGTGCTATAACACAGACAGCGGCGTCTGTCTTTTCCGTACTGACTTTGCTAATGAAGACGGTTATACGCCATTTATTGTGCAACGATGGAAATTTTGCCCGTACAACTGCGGTCTGCGGCACAGCCTACTCATATTTCGAATCCCATACAGCGGCACGGCCTACTCATATTTCGAATCCCAACCGTAAATAGTTCTTTACATGCATGCCATTGTTTACACGGGACGTCGTTTTTTTTTTTGTTTTTTTTTTGTTCCATCAGAACGAATATACACTGTTCCAGCCTTGTTCTGTTTCATCGACAAAAAGTATACTATGGTGGAAAATTCCGGGAAATTTTCTCGGTCAACACCTGGTGCGAAACCGAGACCTCCTGATTAGTGAACCAGTGTCTTATTCACTGAGACACCCATAATGATGGGGATGTGTCACCGTTTCAACAAATAGTACCAGAGATAGACTTTTATTAAAGGAATACCCGTTGTTGTCCAGTTGATTATGTACGAATCTATTGAACGTTTCATTTCATTCGATAACAAATCAATAAATATACCTGTCAGCTATTGTGGGCCTTCGTCAAACCGTGTTAAAAATATCAATGTCATTTATGAATAGGTCTGATTTATTTTTGTTAACATCTTGGTCATATGTTAATTGAAATAATGTTTTCTTATAGACCTACTAAGTAAACTCTCCGCTTGAATACGTAAGGGAAATGAATTTTTCTAAGTGCGTGGAAACAACGCCAAAAGGCAATTTATATTAAAATGTCAAATGAAAAGTACATATGTCAGGTTATGATTTTATTTCTGAGATATTTATTCTCATCTTAAATATCGAAGTAAATTGCCATCGTCTGTCTGTCCACCTGACCGTCTCATGAAATAGAGTTTGTATAATATGCTGAAGTACCAGATACAACTTCCACCTGCAAAGATAAAATTATTGGTTATTTTAACATGACACTATCGCTTATTGGTGGTAATAAAATTATTGACCTAATGTGACTATATAATTGCATAAGGTGTGTTCAAATGCGATTCTACGCAAAATTTGAGACAACTCGACCTAATGCCCGTCTTTCACGTGAGCTATACGAATGCCACGAATTGCCCCGAATTCAAACTTTTTTCCGATTCGTAGATGAATCGTAGACCACGTGAAAGCCGGGAATTACTTTAAATTGACGAGTCATACTGAATTTTAGCGACCTGAGTAATTTATTGCTTGGATTTTTTATATTTAGGTGCGTCTAAACGTATTTTAATATAACATGTTCAAATTAATTACATTTCATTTCGTAGTAAAAATAATTCCTCTTAAACGTTTCGTTTAAAAAAAAAATATTAATCTTTAACTCTAAATTGTTATATTTTGTATTTTTCAGGTTCTCTATGTCCGGTGTGTGAAATACCAGAGGATTTATTTAAAGTGATATTCTGGCTCGGCTACTGTAACTCTCTCATGAACCCCGTGATTTATGCCTGCTCTAGTCGAGAATTTAAACGAGCCTTTAAACGAATACTGACATGTCAATTCCGCAGACGACCTCGTGCTTTTCTTAATGAACAGGTTGAGCGATCTTCATCTAATTTAGATGTTAGTCGATGTGGTCCGCTATCAGAATCGGTGGCGGCGGAATTAAAAAGACAGTACACGTCGTTAACTACAACTTCAAGTCTATATATGCCCAGATTAACTCCACTTGAACAGAATAGTGCCTCTCCGAATCAGTCTCCACAGCCCTCGCCAGAATCACCCATTCATAGTCTACGAATGTTTCAGTTAAAACGAAGACTCAATAATGAAAGTATACGTGGCATTTCACACCAATATGAACCCATCAAGGGCAATGGCGGCCTGACAATGTCAAGCAATAAGGAATGCGAGAAATCAAACGGACTATCCCTAAGTAGCCACACTGACGTCATATACAATGACCATCATTTTCATTCACAAATGAATTTAGATGGAAGTTTCGCAGATGACGAAGAATATGTCAATTCTGTTATTGTCAATAGCAGAAACCACAACAACGGAAACGGGACGCCATTACGTTCTACCTATGTACCAGAAAGTTAACCTCTAAAGATCATTACATATACGGTGTATTTAGTTTAGTTGAACTACTATAGAAGCCATTTTTGTTGCGGAGTAATACGGAAATCTTTATTTCAATGGGTAAAACAATGTGCCGTTTGAACAAACGGATGTGACGCCAACAGTTCAATATTTTATTGAATTAAATCAAATATCTGTTAGTGTATATTTTCTTTTTAAAAATATTCTTTATGATGGTGAATGACCTTCACACCTGGCCCATACATGATGGTCACAGGTATCGCCAAACTTATTAGCACCTAATTTTCTACAGTTAATAACGTGTGACAATACATAGAACGTTTTATTGTTTCGTACTAGTGATAAATGATATTATCTTATTTGTATTTCACAGGTTGTACTAGGACACATACTGAATTATTCAACCCGCTTATCACGCGCTAATAGAAATTATCACACGACAATGTTCCATCTTGCTCGAGATTGTATTCGTACGCCTACTAGATGGTGGAGCCATTATTTCCTGTTGGATATCTCCATTGTATATATAATAAATAATATTTCTATAAGACTCGATGTTTTCGTAATAATTATTTTTCGTGTCGCGAATAACCCCCACAACACGTGCACAAATTAAAGCTCGTGAGATCAGATAATGATTATTATACTAACTCACGTGATACTACTACAGCCCATTTAGCTGTAGAAAGTATCGGGTATTAATGACGATGTTTAGCACGTTTTACTTTCTTAGATTAACTGATCACACTTTTAAGATTATGCTGAAAATTTATATTTTTAATAATTTATGTTGTATAATACTTTCTTATTTCGCAAATCCCTAGTTCCATAATATGAACAGAACTTGTTTAAATGTGCAAATAGTAGTGCGATATATGAAATTAAACCCCTACAAAACAGATGACAGAAAACATTTATCCGAAATTTATGATAAAATTGATACGTATACTTTATACAATTAAGAAACTCTTTGTGCTGTTCACAGGTTTGAAGGGGATCGCGGTGGCTAAATTGGTAAGACGCTGGCTCGCTAGCCTGGAGGTCGGGTGTTCGATCCCTGCATTGGCCGAGAAAGTTCATCCAGATTTTCCGACGTGGTTCCCCCTTGTGAGTGATGCAGGACGGAGGGCCTGACAAGGACAGCTGTCTAGTTGTGTGCGGATGGGACGAAAAACCGAGGTCCCGTATACGCATTGGCGTGCACGTAAAAGATCCCTTGACAGTTGGAATTCGATATAAGAGTAGGCCGTAGTGCCGCTGTCCGGGCAAAATTGACCTCATAGCACACTGTATGGCGTATGCCCGTCTTCATTGGCCCAGTTCGGAGCAGAACAGTAGGACATTAAACCCCATTTCATTTCAATTCATTTCATTTTATTTCACAGGCTTGAAAAAAGTCTGTTCAAAACTGTAACCTTTATCGCGTTCATGCATGGGATATCGGAAAAGGGTGGTAACCCAGAGAGGTCGTGGAACGTTGAATATTGACCATGATGCTTAACACACAATTTTAAATAATTCTGTAAATAAAAATTCTAATCTCTTTCGCGTTCACATGGTGTTCAGATAAAGTGGCGTCATTCCGTAAATGAAGATGGATAAGATTATTTTTTTTGCACCCCCGCCCCCACCAAAGAATCCGTGAAAAAACTATAGCCTCAATAGCAGTCATAATGTTTTCGGCTAAAAAACTATAGCCTCAATAGCAGTCATAATGTTTTCGGCTAATATGGGGACTAACTCCGGGACGGAAGGGTGCAGAACGCTGAATATTAATAGGGTTCATCCGCTCATGACCGCATTGCATCCTACCTAATTTGATATTATGTCCGTTAAATTCTGTAACGTGAACCACGTTCACAAAGTATTCGACCCGTGTGGGGAATGGTGTGGTAACTCTGGGACAGAAGGTTGGGGAATGCTGTATATCGATAGGGTTAGTCCTCGCATGAGTCGAGTGGTCTTACACGTGTTTTTGAGATCATATGGTATGTCAAGTGGCGTACGTAACAAGCCAATTGTTAATGGGTAGACAGGCAGACGCACGGAGTAAAATGCTGTTCACTAAAACACTGTAAATGTAAAATGACACTCGGTACCATTTTCCCAGGGGTATTCCTTTTGACTTAAGCGTCTACCCATAAAAGACATGGCCTATGTAAGAACCAGTGCGGTGCGAGTCTGACGTCCGATTGCTACGCAATAAAATGAACATCAGGGGTATGTTACTGCTAACCGCTAGAGTAGAGTTGTTGTGGTGCTCCATGTTGACTGTTCATATGTCCTTGGCTATAGGACGCAATACCTCACCACAGTTGTTAAATGGGTATTCTCCTGTGGGGATTTTGAAACACAGACCAACAGTGACAATTTGACGAGATGCGTTTCTCTAGCACAGGATAATATACCAAATGTTGAAGGCATTTCAGAAGCACCTGCCAGAAACCATGGGGATTTCAACGCTAACCTGTACATATATATGTTGCTCTTCCTCCATTCCCTTCAGCAAATCAGGAACAAAAACGATTTATCGGCATTCAGTCCTTTATTAAGGTTAGTGAAGATGAGTCACCTGTCGCTCCTTAGTTAGCCTAGCGGGAAGTCGCGGCTATACGATTAATTTGTCTACAGAACGCTGAAAAAGGCGGAGAATGACAAATAGAGAAATAAGACGAGATTAATCACGTAATTATTACCTCTAAATAGAGATTACAAATAAGACTGATGTTTTTCCAATATCCTACCAACCCATGTTACGTCAAGGGAACAATTTCCCCCCTTGTGGATAATTGACGCTTACGGCGAAGTTCTATCTCCTGCTTTTTTAGGAATCCTTTTCTTTGATGTAACAATTACGTAAGAGCCTAATATTGTTAGTGATAAATTGGTTGTCCATTTTAAAATGACGAATGACCCTTATGTTGCATGTCTCTACGGCAGTGTGTAATTTGTTCATTACTTTAACTGTCCATCAAGGTAGTTGTAAGTATGATTTAGCGACCAATGAAGATCGGTTAAATCTGTTGCCAGCATCTTGGTGGCTTCACTTCATCTGTGTAAATGTCTAAAAATGAATTATCACCATCTCATTCTTTACATTTAAGTTTACATTTTAGTTTGTAGACGCCATTGTTCCAAGAACAGACTGGGATCTTCCAGTAAAACGTTCCGGAAATATTTGTAACCCAGACCTTAGACCGGATTTATTCGCTCATAAATTCATGTGATCAATTTCTTAGCTGCCGACAAACCCATGTACAAACTAAAGTTTACTACCGAGTCAGAACCCGCTTTCTAGAAACCGTTTAATTGACAGTTCGCATAGCCAACGTTTATTTTCATGGAGTATGGTTGAGGACTCTGTCAGTGGCTATTTGTCTATATTTTTCTTCTAAAAGTAACTTATGGCCTTTGATGTGTACAGCCTGATAGCAAGACATTAATTGAGAAGCTAAGTTGTACCTGTTAGATAAATTTATCAGCCCTACAATATTCTTGTGAGTTTAGTATTGGACAGTAAAATCTTCATACACAACCACGTCGTTTTTCATTAGACCTGAATTCCTTATCTAGAACAAACGACAAAAATTCTATAGGTCATAAAACTGGGTGTAATACGTAGGGCAGACTTGTAAGGCGTTGAACAGTCAATGCGGATTACCCAGGAAGCATCGGGTTTCGGGGAAGCACGAAAATCGAAGATGGGGGATTACACAATGACTGGAAACAAGCGATTCTTTAGATTATTTAATACCCTTTCTTTCTACTGTAATATAACATTCAATCTCCACATTGCCGTTCTCTATCACATGTAGGGTATTAAAAAGATCTAAACCAGCGCCTTGATGTTAAGAGGCCATTTCTGGTTTCACTTTTTCCTGTCACTGTTTAGGCTTTAAAATGAAAACAGAAGCTCTGCACGAATAAGAAACAATCCCGAAAATGTAGCCTGCAGCCACTATGGTTCAAATCATTATAATTTCCGGGGCAGTTTAGAGGACTGTTCTAAGATTTATATTAAAGAATTCAAATATCCATGATATCTGAAAAGCTTTGTGATAAATTTAAAGGGGCTAAACCTCCCATAATAGTAATGTTGATATATAATGATTGTAAATATATAGTTCATGATAAACACAGCCGGTTTCTCTATTTGAAAAACACAGTTGAGTATGATCCCCGTTTTACGTTTAGTGGAAGACTTGTGGAAAGACAGCCTTCAATTACCATCAATATTCCATCAATTTGGGTGGTAATCAAGATTCTTAACTATAAAAATAGCGTGCATTCTACTTCTTCTGAGTTATTAGCTACATTACGTCAGAACAAACATTAATACACCATATTGTCTATGTCATGATCCGTGAAAATCATTGCGTGACAATTCTTCTACCATTTGCTCGAACATCACAAAGACTATAAATCGTCTTAATACATATCATACATAAATATTGTGGGGGCTTTTAGTCGGCGTAAACCACAGATTAGTCTTAGAATGTCATAATTCCTCTCTCTATATATACTTGAAATGAAGTTAATGGTCTCTTCTGGATCGGATATTGACCAACTAACAAGACGGAAGTTGATTATTGGCCTGTTTCTTGAACCGGAAGTAATTTGTCCAAGATATTGATAGGTTTATAATGAAGGCTACCACGATCGGTCTAACTAAAGAATAGGCAGTTAATGGCTAGGGAGAACGCAAATGATGTAAATGAAATTGTAAATCTTATATTCAGACCTATTGGCACATAGTCGAAACAGCACTTGTCCAAGCGCACTAGATCTGTAATAAAACGGTTCCGCGTTTGATCCTCACCTTGGTTGTGTGTCAGATCCTTGTGTAATTGGGTATAGGTAAAACTTATGGAGCAAATGGCATAAGAATATTAAGTAAGTACTTTGTACTAACCCAGGGTAAAATGTAAGTGTGGGTGTGACTTTCGAGAACCGCAAGAAATAATATAATGATGAATTTGTATCGTCTTGATTCCAAACATTGCTATTCTGCGCAGCGGCACTGAAATGTACAACTATTACAGCTCCAACTAACAGATCAACCGATTGCACTATTCGTGTTATAAACATCCGTTAAAGCATCCCTTATAACTTGTTTGAATTGTTCATAGAAATTGTTTTTAACACTCTTCAATCTCAATATTTTCATTTCTAATGAGTACCTGTCGAGGTCGACTTCAAACACCCAATGATTCCTAAGGCGAACTAGTTGGTGACGAGATGAGAAAACAAAATTTCGGTTGGATACCAGTGACAATTTAAAATGGTGGCTAAATTATCAATTTTACGTCAAAGTTTTAAGTTTTAATGGTATTGTCAAAGTTTTAAGTTTTAATGGTAGCATATGTGATTTTATTCAGTTTCTTTAATACTTCTGGTCAGTTGAATGATCTTGTGAAGGTCGGATACCAGGTATAGTGCCCATATTTCCCCATCTTCGAAGAAACTACTTTTTTGTAAAAAAAAACCCAACATAGA